ATATATATATATATATATATGGGCGCGCATATTTCCTCAAGCTATCAATTTTGATAAACTAAATTAGTAACAACTAATTTTATTGAGAGTAAAATTCTAGGAGGATGGTATGTTTATTGAGAGTAAATTTTACTACTGCACCTTAAATTTTTCGTGTTTTTTTTTTTTTTTTTAACAAAATATACCTCAAGCTATCAATTTTGATAAACATCATTTTGAACCTTAAAATTAGTAACAACTAAGGTTTAATAGCTAATGAGACTATCAAATTGATGGTTCACGATGAGACACGAGATTTGCTCATGAAAAGCAAAGCTTATCATTTTGCAAATTAGGTTACATACGAGTCTCATATATCCTGAAATGTCAATTTGATAACGGTTATTAGCTATTGGACTTTAATTGCTACTAATTTGAAAGTTTGAAACACAATTTGTAAAAATTGAAAGTTTGGAGTGAGTTATGAAAATTTTTTGAAGAGTTTTGACTATAATAGTACAATTTATTTGAGAAAAGTATTATGCTTCATTTATATAAAATTGAAGGGTAATTCGACGAAACAATGTTGCCTATTAATTGAAGTTTAGGATCTATAGATGTTATGAATGGAATTTTATGCACAAAAGTGTTATAAAAAGTATAGTTTAGAGGATGCGAGTAAGATTTAACTTAAGAGACCATAAACTTAATAATTAGGTAAAAGGCCTTAAACTTTACAATTGTAAAAAAAAATAAAAAATAAAATAAAATAACACAAATACTAACCAAATTAGCTCAAAGATCATCCGAATATAAATAATATTGCCAATGCTATAATAGTATAATTGGCAAAAAATTGTGAAAATCACGTACTTCATACGTAAATTCTATTTTGTACCAATCCCATAATGCTATTTCAAAAGTCAAATTTAATTATTAATCTTTGAAATCTATAAAGATAAAACTATAATTTTTTAATAATTTGAAAATAACAAATGAAGTAATTATTTAATAAAATTATCAACATATCAACCAAAAACAATTAAATGTTAAAACTTGACATATGTTATATTTGGTCCCAAATTAAGCATTAAGTTTTTCATATAAAAAATTTAGCACCAAAAATAACAAGGCATTGCAAAGTAATTTTCCAATCCAAATGTAAATTTAATATTGGCAGATTAACTTGGTCTTGCATTGGAGATGATCTAAACATAATATGTAAAGTTCGTACAGAAAAGTTTGTTTGTAGATATGAATTATATACAGATAATTGTGACATAAAAAAATCCATAAAGACTTAAATTTACTATTTTCAATACAAGATTTACTTATATCCAAAATATTTCTCTTTTTTTTTTTCTTTTTTTTTTTCTGAAACACTATATTTGTTCCTTTTATCGTACAATATCTAAAGTGTACCTTGTGACTGTGGTTATTGAGCAAAAGCAACCTCTCAACTGTTAAATTTGAGGAATTACTATTACTTTCGTTATATTGTATTAATTTCCTTAAATTAAATTAAATTATTTTCAAAACATCAAACAAAATTTAAAAAAAAAAAATTGAAAAATGACGAGGAAAAGTGAAGAATTTTCAAGAAGGCAGGGGCTATGCATTTTCATTTTCACATTTCTTCATGTCATACCTCAATTTTTACATGTCAAAGCCTACAATGATCTCTGCATCATCGACATCACCGTAGATTCCAAATTCGATGATTGGAAATAATGCGGTCTGTCACTAGTACGTAACGACCAATTCCGACGCAGTGAGAAGTTGAAGAATCAAGCCAAATCCATGGTTGAGGGAAGAGCTCTTGCTGTATTTCAAATTAGTTCTCTGTCCAAAAATATATTAATTATAGATCAAGGTTTTGACTCCTTTAGCAAATGGGTCTAAATGACATGGCGTTTAATAAGAGCTAACGCAACAAATGATGAGACAACATCCAAAATAACTCTGCACTATGCAGCACCCAAAACGGTAGGGTTGAGGAAAGTAAAACGACAAACATTTAACAAACATCTGCAAAAAAAATAATAACCCGTTTAATTCGCTGATTCGAGTTTTTAATTCGAGTTGAGATGTGACTTTATGTGAGAACTTTTTATTGTAGTAAAAAAGTTAGATATGACTGTTTATGAGAGCTTTTTATGTAACAAAACTTAAATTCTAAACTCGAATCGGTGAAATGAACGGCCTAAGTGAGATTTGGATGCCACCTTCTTCATAAGTGAGATTTTTATTTTTTTTTCCTAATAAATGCCACCTTCTTAAGTGAGATTCATCTCCGAATCAATAGCCTACGCGGGAGTATCGTTTGGTGGAAAACTATCAACTAAAAATACTATTTTTTGACATTTCATTACTAGCTAAACTTATTATTCATATTTTTTGTTTTCATGAAGATGAGAATTGCCTCTATCAAAGCTTCTTATGGCTAACTTTCCCATTTTGCTAATTGGACTACAGCCAAATTTTTCGGCTCTTGCCATGTTAGTTTCTTTCACAGATTGTCATTAGTTGCATTGAATATGTGAGCCGTGAGGGGAAAGCCAAAGTTTTTCTATCTAGTAGGGGGCCATGCGAGGGAGACCTGCATTGGGAGGGACTAGAGCTGTGACGGTAAGCGCGGGAAGGCAGTGGCTGCGCGAGGGAGATCTGTGCCGATAACAAATCTATCTTTAGCAGTCTTACCAACAAAAAGAAAAAAAAAAACGCCAGATCTCTAGTAATGTAATATATCATATGTTCTTGATATTAAGATGAACAATTTCTTTTACTTTGTACGCTTCTTTGCTTTTATCACTTTGTTGTTTTGTGGTTAATTGGGAAATGCATAACTATTCTAGCTCACTAGTTTTGGTTCTGTTTGCTGGTTTGGGGAAAGAACGAAGGAGTAGAAAGCGAAGAGCAGAGAAGCAGAAACTTGGCTGGGTTTTCTTCTTTTTTCTTTCGTACCCTTTCTTTTGTTTTGTTTTGTTTTTTTTTGTTTTTTTTTTCAAAACATACTTTTCCATGTTATTGGTACTCTTTTTTATTCAGAATTTCTTTAGGTCTTTTTCTTGTTCTTTTATGGGTATTTTATATCAATCAAGTGTTGATAAAAAAAAGGTATATTTTGTGAACAACTCTACAATACAAGGTATAAAAAATAAAGAACCTGCTTCGAAACACATAATAATTCAATCTTATAGTAGGAAAAATCTGCAAAAACCAAAGCAAAGTCAGAAACAAACATGTCTATTAAACAGGGTAAAAAAACAGAATGCAATACAAGGAACAGGGTCATAGTTGATAATAACAGCAGTTCTATCGCGGTACATAACAAATCAACTAAAGGAGTATCGTCCCTAATTCTTTTCAAACCTTTGCACAAAAAGTGAATTCGCAGAGTAATCATTGGATGGTCCATGACTTGCACCGAGTTCCTTCGTCTCTTTACATAGACACAGGGATTCTTTCTTCAGAGGCCTTTGTGGAGTCCCTATCTTTGAAACCTAGCATCTTGTTCAATGCTCCAATATAGGCCTTGACACTTGAAACAACAATGTCCATTCCTGCCCCGTTCCCACTGGAAAACAAAAGCGGAAAAAAAAAAAGTTGAGATTTACGTGCTCTGGACCTACAAGTAGAACAAGCACGCCATCTTGACGATAAGGCAAATCCAGACACGCCATACCTAAATGTCCGAGAAACCGATTCTCCGGTTGAAGCGTGAGTAGGTGAGCAAGCGTTTTCTCCTCGGATTAGGACACGGGTGGTGGCAATTGCATCGATGCCTTCTGTGACAGCAATCATGGAGTACTCAAGGAGTGTCACAGGTTCCTGCATGGTGCAAGCAAATGGAAGAAGATTCCATCAAAGACTAGCCAACACCTCTCACACTCGCAGGTTCAAGTGCAAAGCAAATTTCTAATAATCAACTTCAATACCATCACGTGTCTTTTGTTGGCCCTTCCAAGAAACTTACCAAAAGAATCAAATCACAAGCAAGTCTAGAATTCCATGAAATCAAATGGGAGAAGGCTTTGAAGATTATGTGATCAGTTATTTTTTGTCTCTAACCTTTACAATTAGATCAACAGCTTTGTAAGCTGAATCCACCGGACCTGTTCCTACTGAACAAGCAACATAGTCTTTCCCATCTGCATCAACAAGTTTAACAGTTGCGGTTGAAAGACCAAGAGTTCCACATGTGACCTGTGCTAAATTCATGCCATTTGGTGATTTAACTTACCTTGAAAATAATGAATATTAGAAGATCATGAGCAAAGTCAAATTGTATGCAGAATTACCTGCAGATCAACCAACTTCCAAACCACTTCTGGCTGAAAAACTTCATCCGTAACCAATGCTCTAAGGTCGGCATCAGTTACCCTCTGCAAACAGGAAACAAAACAGGTGACAGGACAAAAAATGCTTTTCTAATCAAGATGCACATAAGTAGACAGAAAAGAAAAATAAATTGTGCAATACGGTTTTATGCAGATTGGAGCAAAAATCTGACGGGATAAATCAGTGAGTATAAAACAGATAACATTATGCAATTAATGTTTTAAATTAACCTTCTTTTGATCAGCAACAGCTTTGAAACGCCAGAATATACTCCCAAGTTGCTCATCATCAAGCTCATAACCCAGCTGTGAAGAAAATATTAATCAACATGCAGTAGAAAAAGTAGAGGTACAAGGTAATTTAGCTGTGCACTGCTCACACATGAAAATTAAAATACCTCCTCAAGTCGTCGCTTCAATGCATGACGCCCACTGTAAAAAAGAAAAAAAAAAAGGAGCTATTATTGGAATTATTTGTAAATAAACAGGAACAAAAGAGAACAGAGACGGTAGCAAACATAAAAAGTAACAACATTATTGTTGTCTCTCCTCCCTCACTCAGACACACACACAGAGCATGTAAGATTCTTTGACACTTTAGATTAGTAACCAAAAATACGGTCCAAGAAAACAAAACTTTGTGCATACAACATAATACGGACAATTTAGTACGTGGATAAGTTTGTGGGTATCAATAATAGAAAAACAATTGTTTAGGACACGCTCCTAAACTTGCAAAATTTAATATTTAATCTTTACTATTGCTTTCTACCTTCTCTAATTCCGAATTGCCTGAGCAAATGGATAGAGAAATAATAAACAAAATAGGTTTCTGCTACTTTTCACGAGTACACAATTCTTTAAATAATGTCTGTAGAAATGTAACCACAAGCAAGACAAATGTGAAGTATAAGATAAATATTGCAACCTACAAAGGATTTACAATTCAAGAACAATATATTGAAAGTCATTCAAAGCTAAGTAGTCGTACCTAAGTTTTCCGAGGACAATACCAGCTTCATTGATTCGTTCTAATCCAATATCTTCAGGGGCTATGATTTCATAAGTACCTTTGTGCTTAAGCATCCCATCCTAAAAAACCGACAGCTATCTTGAGTTACATCAATTTTGAAACTATCTATGAACCAAAACAATGGAAAAGACAGGCAAAACTGAAAAACTTGTATGAAAATGAACATGATACCATGCAAAAGGGCATGTGCTATTACCCATACATTTCAAGGAGTCATTCATCTTACTTTTCCAACCAGAGTAAAACGAGATGTGAAAATGAGAATCACACATCATTTCATGAATACCAACCTGATGAATGCCACTTTCATGTGCGAAAGCATTGGCTCCAACGATAGCTTTGTGTGGCTGCACATGCAATCCTGTATAGTCTTCAACCTAAGGTTTCATTTGCATTAAGAAACTTCATGAAAATGACATTATTATTAAGGAACTAAATGAAAAGGACATAATTAAAAGAAGGGAATGACAAATAAAGCAATTGAGAAGCATACCATCTTGCTCGTCATCATAATGTGTTTGGTGTTGATTCTAGTGTGAAGCCCCCCCAATTCACGCTCACCACGACATTTCAATGTCATTACAACCTGAATATAAAATTCATGGAGAAAAAGGAAAACAGTTATTCAAAAAGAAAACAAATTAGAATAGCATACTTTTACAGCTGGCTCCTAATAGATCCACAAATGCTTTGGCACCTAATATACAAACTCAAAGCTGTTGTCCAATTTAGTATCTTAATTGGTGTCTAACCAATCAAATCATGCCACGTTATGTAAAAAATTTGGATTGCTTTTTAACTGACTCTTTTGTGCTTATCACGGGATGATGTGGTATGAATTAATTGGGTGGACACCATTTAAGACACCAAAAATTGGACAACAGTTTTGGATCCCTAATATACCTACTTCCTAGAACTGCATTTACAAATACAATTGAAGTTAGAAATGACTTGAAGAGGTAACACTTGTGAATCTTTGATAGCAAATCATAGGAAAGTAATTCCAACGTCAAATGAATTTATAGGACAACTAAAGGGATATATCAATATATACATGTACAATCCATTTCTCTACTTGGAGCAGAACCTCAAAATACTGTAACAGAACAATTTTAGTGAATACTGTAACAGAACAATTTTAGTGCTTTAAGAAGGAGATGTAAGGTAGGTGTGTTGCAGCATTACAGAATGTCTTAGATACTAGCTCTAAGGAAGTTAATGACTAAGAGGGGTTAAGTGGGGGGAAGGACAATAAATTGAGTTTGGATGTAATTTCTGAGAAATTATGTTAGTGCTGATTTGTCTTGGTTTTGGCTAGGATTAGTGGAAAGGTATAAAAGGGAGGTAAAGGGAAAAGTTGGATCATGCTGAGATTTGTGTGGGATTTGAGATCTTTAGGAGAGCTAGTGGTCTCCCAAATACCGCCGAGTTTACGAGTCCCCGGAGTACTCGAATTCTCTAGTCTATCCTTTTGTTTCCGTTTAGTAGCGTAATTGGTGATATGCTGGTGAAATTTTATTTTATTTTTTATTTTTTATTTTTTATTTTGAAAAGAAATGTAACCTTTTATTAAGAGAGAAAAATGGGAGATAGGAGCAAAGAGGAAGAGTTATCCTCTTCAAAAACCCTCCAACTAGTGAATATCAATAAAAGAATCCTTGATTTCTATCCTATTTCCTTGTCAATTTTCTGGTTATGTGAGTGGTTTCGGGCTGTTTGGCTGAGAATTATCAGGTTCCTAACACTTTGGTATCAAAGCATCGCTCCATGGCACCCAAACTAGCTGACGTAGAGAGGCTGGTGTCGGCATAGAAGCGGTTGACGGTGGAGCAACAGGCGGTTCAAACCCTAATGGCTGAAACTTTGCCTCAGATCCGTGGGTAAGTCAATGGGTTAAATGAGGAGATGGGTGGGCTTCGTACTCAAGTCGGGGAGATGCAAGGGACAATTGGGAAGGTGCAAGGATCAATCTGCTGGTTGGAGGCATTGCTGGAACAGTGGGGCCACGTTGCTTAAAGATTAATTATGCTTATTGCTTACTACAAGTTGGTCCAGTTTTTTATCTGCTGGGGGTGTCAACTTAATTGGCATATAGTATCTGGAAATCCACAAAATCATATGACAGCAGAAAATAGAGAATATATATATATATATATTCAAAAAGCCAGTGAAATCACTTTGTGAGCACTGAGCCAGAGTTTGAAACTGGAGGCCTCCGGCCTCCGCCAAATCCTACAATCTTTGGAAGACAGGAAACTAACATTTTTCATGTAGGTGCCCATTAGGTGGTTCAAACCCCGAACCTCGTGGGAGCAAAGCAAAGGCCTTACCATTCCAACCAACACCCCATGTTTGAAAGCCCAGTTCTAATTAGTTGCAAAACTGGCTATGTTGTTGGCCTTGGCCACTTGGCTAGTATGAAGATAATGCCCTCTAAATCAACACAAGAAGAGCTAAAATAATGGACACATTAATACCACGACATCGTGGAATTGGAACAAAAAGAAAAATTATTTACTTTAATTATTAGGTGGTTGTGATGATGTCAATCCAACTTTGTCAACTTATAGTACGTCTAGAACTGGAACCAGATAGGTCAATTCAATCTAAGGTCTAAAGGGATGATGTTAGTAAGTATACCAAATAACTGAAGCATTCCACATTCCTCAAGCAATTCAGGGACATTGGAGATGCTGATAATGGGTCTTAGCACTTTATACATTTGCCTGTGAATCAAATATGATCTAAAGTGAGGTTAAAACTCCATAAACTAATAACTAGCGTGAAAGGGTCTTCAATCAATGTTAAAGATGTTAGCAATTCAACTGTTGTAGTCTATTACCAAACTCAGATAAAAATTATATTTTGTTAGAGGATCCTACACGATTCAAATTCGAAGATGAATGCGCATTCTCATGGTCATACAAAATAAACAATTACCTCTTCTAACGATGCATTCCCAGCTCTTTCACCAATACCATTGATTGTTACTTCCAACTGTCTTGCACCTGCGCATGCCCCCTGAACATATATCAAATGAGAGGAGTCCGCATTTATAATAGTACAATGTCTGAGGAAAAGAAATGGCATACCGCTATTGTGTTGGCAGTTGAAAGTCCAAGATCATTTTGGCAGTGTGTTGATATTATGACATTCTCAATTCCAAAGGTATTGGCTTTGATGTCAGCGATCAATTTTCCAAATTCTTCCGGCACAGTGTAACCCACAGTATCAGGTATGTTCAGAGTTGTTGCTCCAGCTTTTATAACTTCCCCCAAAATTCGATACAAGAATTCCCTATCAGACCTGGTGTACTCCAGAGAAATAAAAACCAGTTAGGGACTTTTTTTCCCCCCCAAGGTCATGCTACTTCTTTCTAACAAACCCCAACACTATTTTCAACCAAAGCCAATAGTCATAAGCTACGTATATTCCCACATTTTTGTATTCCAACAACTCAACGCATCTTAGGCTATGCTCTGAATGCATCTGCATCCTTTATTTCAATATTGTTTCCCCCTCATCAGAAGCTATGTTTTTAGCATTAACAAGAATATTTCCTTACAATTTTAAGGAGTAAAAAGAAATATTATATAAGAAATATGAATCATCACTTTCAACTAGCATGTGGATCAACATAAAAATAAATTGTTTCGGAGTTCCAATAGAAGTTTGAATTCAAATTGCAATTTTTTCTTTTAAGAAAAATTAAAAAAAAAACACACACACACACACCCAAACACAAAGACAAAAACATGGAGAAAGAATTGGAATACAAACCTCCCAGCATCTTCAGGGCTAAACTCAACATCCTCACATCCCAAACTCCGGGCAAACTTCACCATATTCCTCGCAATCTCAATCACCTGCTCTTTACTCTTCCTCAGTTTGTACTCCATGTGAATTGGACTCGTAGCAATAAAAGTGTGTATCCTAGTAGTAACAAATTTAAATAATATGTAATCACTTCAACAAATTGTCCAGATCGCTTAAAATAGTCTAGTGTATTCATAGATAGACAATCTCAACTACGAAACCTCAACAAATTAGCAAGAAAAATTCAATTTTCAAGGGTCTCATATTTTCTACCCTTTGCCTCTGATTTACCAAATTCTAGGTCTACCCTTCTCTGACCCCTGATTGGTTCTCTTGTGATTCGAAGCATATAAAAAAATTTTGAAGTTTTAGAATTAAGAAATGCCTAAGCGATCTCAAACCGACTAACAAGATCAAATAAATTAAACTACTCAAATAATATTCTTAAATATTCAGTTATAAAAAATTAATTAAATTTAAAGAAAAAAGAAAAACAAATTGAAAGCATGAAGAATCTAATTCCAGTACCTAGGTCTCTTGGCGTACTTGACGGCCTCCCAAGCCGTCCTGATATCGTTCTCATTGCACCTCGAGAGGCCGCAGATGACCGGAACGTAACCGTCCTTATCGACGGCGTTGCCAACCTCCTTCGCGATCGTCTTCACGGCCTCAAAGTCGTCCTTCGAGGCGGCGGGGAATCCGGCCTCGATAATGTCGACGCCGAGCTTCGCCAGCTGCCTCGCGATGTCGAGCTTCTCCTTCGAGGTCAGCGACGCCCCCGGCGACTGCTCGCCGTCGCGAAGAGTCGTGTCAAAGATGCGGACGTAGTAAGGGTCGGAAATCCGGTTCGGGACATACTCCGACCGCCGTCTTCGGCCGGTCGCCGGCGGTTGCCCGTCGGAGCTCTGGCAGAAAACCAAGCAGTCGGAGTTGTGCCTCCTCCTCCGGGGATTGGTGAGGTTAAGAGAGGCGGAATGGGGAGTGTAAATTCTGGTGTGGAGAAAATGATGAACTCCGTGGTAATGGTGGTTCTTAGCGGTGGAGGAGGAGGAGGTGGTGGTAATGGTGGGAGAGAATTTAGGGTTTGTAAAGACGGCCGTCGCCATTTACGGACGAAAAAGAAGGAGAAGAAGATAGAGATGGGAGAGTTTAGAATCTCTGCGAATATACAGGCAAGATTTATGACGAAAAGTGAGAGAAACAAAAAAGGGTATCTTCTTTTAGAATGTTATTTGAATATAATTTTTAAATTAAATTTAAGTTATAATTTGAGTTAAAATTAAAATTTAAATAAAATTAAATAAAATTAAAATTTAAAAAAATATAAATTTAAATAAAATTATAATTTGAATTGTAATTTTTTTTTTAATTTTATTGTAAAAGAATAACTCTGAAAACCCTACAGTGAGAAGAGATGAATTAAGCATTCAAATCACTTTCCGTTTTTTTACGTACAAATCCGGATTTGAATTAAAACTTTACCCTGTTTATATTATTGATTGGAATTTTTAATTTTAATTGAAATATAATTTTATGTAATTATTTTTTATTGTATTATAAAAAGTTAAAAAAGTTAATGTAATTTTTAATTATAAGAAAATTAAAATTAAAAATTTAAATTGATAAAATAAATAAAATTTTATTTAAACTACACTCTCTAATTAAATAAATTAAAGACTTATTTTATTTGTTAATTTAAATTCATAATTTAAATTCGACTTTCATATAAAATTTAAATTAAAAATGTTTATATCAATAGATTATTTCACAAACTTTAAATTTAAAATCAAACTCACTAATTAACTTATTAATTAAACATGTCATAAATTACAGCCGAAGTGGATAAATGAATTGCATGGCGATGACGTTTCCAGCTCATAGTGAGGTAAGTGGCGGCCGATTTGGATAACTGATGTCCAACTGATCAACTCAACCCCACCCTCAAGAGCTTTTGGTTAGTGACACTTTCATGTTGTCAATTGTTTGTGATTTTATTTCTAAGAGCAAAAAAATATTTCTAATTTTTGTTTTATTCAAAAAAAAAAAAAAAAAAAACATCTACGCCTAAAAAGCCCTTAAATAATTTTCTTCTCACAATCCAACTATACCACAAAAAGTGAGAGTAGAAAAGAAGGAGAATAGTGGACCAGCTAACCGGTGTTAAGATTTAGGACCCGTTTAGTTCACTGATTTGAGTTTTTAATTCGAGTTGAGATGTGACGTTATGTGAGAACTTTTTATTGTAGTAAAAAAGTTAGATGTGATTGTTTCTGATAGCTTTTTACTATAGCAAAACTTAAATTCTAAACTCGAATCGGCAAAATAATGAGATGAGATTTCTTCCCAGGTCACCGAACTGATTTCTTCCCAAATTGTACATCGTCGTCGAAATCAAAGACCGTCGCGCCTCACAAGTTTGCCCCCACAAGAAGCGTTGCCGTCGAGGTCCTCCACCGGTCGCACCTCCATCCGTTGCGCCTCCGCCCGTTGCGATCAGACCGCCGTTGTGCCCTGGCTGCTGTTCAGTCACGCCACTCAATCGAAGACATGTTCTGTTCGTCGTTTTCATCGCCGTAGCTTCCAGTTGCATCCCTCTACTCACCGAAGACACGTTCCGCCGCCGTCGCATCGAGTCACACCACTCTCGTGGTCAAACCCGAGCATCTAGTCGTACTTCTCTCATTTCCATTGAGTAAAACAAAGTCGTTATATATATATATATATATATATTTCAAGTCATTTTTAGGTTGTTTTGTTGGGGGATTCGTACCTTGATTCGAATCATGATTCATGGTTCACTACAATGTTTTCTCTTATAAAAAACACACATAAATCGAAAATAGTTCTAATCTCATGGTTCTAATCCATGAACCAAACGTCTATTTCATACTTGGTTTATTATATATATATATATATACACACACGTTTCATTAAACTTTTTTTATTTATAGAAAAAAGGAAAAAAAGGAAGAGGAAAAGGTTAAAAAAAATTATTTAAAAAAATGATGAGTGAAAAAAAATTGAATTATTTGGGATGAAATCAGTGTTTGGTTGTCGTACAGAAAATCATCTGAGAACTTACAGATGTACACATTATCATCTAATTAGTCACACCAAAAACCAAGGTATATTTTCTGAACAACTCGAAAAATACAAGGTATAAAAAATAAAGAACCCGTTACGAAACACATAATAATTCAACTTATAATTGGACAAATCCGCAAAAACCATAGCAAAATGAAAAACAAACATGTATATTAAACAGGGTAAAAAAACATAATCCAATAGAAGGAACAGAGTCATAGTTGAAAATGACAGCAGTTCTATCGCGATACATAACAAATCAACTAAAGGAGTATCATCCCTAATTCTTTTCAAACCTTTGCAAAAAAAGTGAATTCGCAGAGTAATCATTGGATGGTCCATGACTTGCACCGAGTTCCTTCATCTCTTCACGCAGGCCTTTGTGGAGTCCCTATCTTTGAAACCTAGCATCTTGTTCAATGCTCCAATATAGGCCTTGACACTTGAAATAACAATTTCCATTTCTGCCCCATTCCCACTGGAAAACAAAAACAAAACAAAAAAAGTCAAGATTTACGTGCTCTGGACCTACAAGTAGAACAAGCACGCCATCTTGACAATAAGGCAAATCCAGACATGCCATTCCTAAATGTACGACAAACCGGTTCTCTGGTTGAAGCGTGAGTAGGTGAGCAAGCGTTTTCTCCTCGGATTAGGACACGGGTGGTGGCAATTGCATCGATGCCTTCTGTGACAGTATTCATGGAGTACTCAAGGAGTGTCACAGGTTCCTGCATGGTGCAAGCAAATGGAGGAAGATTCCATCAAAGACTAGCCAACACCTCTCACACTCACAGATTCAAGCGCAAAGCAAATTTCTAATAATCAACTTCAATACCATCACGTGTCTTTTGTTGGCCCTTACAAGAAACTTACCAAAAGAATCTGATCACAAGCAAGTCTAGAATTCCATGAAATCAAATGGGAAAAGGCTTTGAAGATTATGTGATCAGTGATTTTTTTTCTCTAACCTTTACAATTAGATCAACAGCTTTGTAAGCTGCCTCCACTGGACCTGTTCCTTCTGAAGAAGCAACATAGTCTTTCCCATCCGCATCAACAAGTTTAACAGTTACGGTCGAACCAATACTTCCACATGTGACCTGTGCTAAATTCATGCCATTTGGTGATTTAAATTACATTGAAAATAATGAATATTAGAAGATCATGAGCAAAGTCAAACTGTATGCAGAATTACCTGCAGATCAACCAACTTCCAAACCACTTCTGGCTGAAAAACTTCATCCGCAACCAATGCTCTAAGGTCGGCATCAGTTACCCTCTGCAAACAGGAAACAAAACAAGGACAAAAAATGCTTTTCTAATCAAGATGCACATAAGTAGACAGAAAAGAAAAATAAATTGTGCAATACAGTTTATGCAGATTGGAGCAAAAATCTGACGGGATAAATCACTGAGTATAAAACAGATAAGATTATGCAATTAATGTTTTAAATTAACCTTCTTTTGATCAGCAACGGCTTTAAAACGCCAGAATATACTCCCAAGTTGCTCATCATCAAGCTCATAACCCAGCTGTGAAGAAAATATTAATCAACATGCAGTAGAAAAAGTAGAGGTACATGGTAATTTAGCTGTGCACTGCTCACACATGAAAATTAAAATACCTCCTCAAGTCGTCGCTTCAATGCATGACGACCACTGTCACAAAAAAAAAAAAAAAAAAAAGAGCTATTATTGGATTCAGACACACACACAGAGCATGTAAGATTCTTTGACACTTTAGATTAGTAACCAAAAATACGGTCCAAGAAAACAAAACTTTGTGCGTACAACATAATACGGACAATTTAGCATGTGGATAAGTTTGTGGGCATCAATAATAGAAAAGCAATTGTTTAGGATACGCTCCTACACTTGCAAAATTTAATATTTAATCTTTACTATTGCTTTCTACCTTCTCTAATTCCGAATTGCCTGAACAAATGGAGAAATAATAAACAAAATAGGTTTCTGCCACTTTTCACAAGTACAGAATTGTTTAAATAATGTCTGTAGAAATGCAACCACAAGCAAGACAAATGTGAAGTATAAGATAAATATTGCAACTTACAAAGGATAAACAATTCAAGAACAATATATTGAAAGTCATTCAAAGCTAAGTAGTCGTACCTAAGTTTCCCAAGGACAATACCAGCTTCATTGATTCGTTCTAATCCAATATCTTCAGGGTCTATGAATTCATAAGTACCTTTGTGCTTAAGCATCCCATCCTAAAAAACCGACAGCTATCTTGAGTTAAATCAATTTTGAAACTATCTATGAACCAAAACAATGGAAGAGACATGCAAAACTGAAAAACTTGTATGAAAATGAACATGACACCATGCAACCCATACATTTCAAGGAGTCATTCATCTTAGTTTTCCAACCAGGGTAAAACGAGATGTGAAAATGCGAATCATGCATCATTGCAACAGAAAATTCATGAATACCAACCTGATGAATGCCACTTGCATGTGTAAAAGCATTGGCTCCAACGATAGCTTTGTGTGGCTGTACATGCAATCCTGTATAGTCTTCAACCTAAGGTTTCATTCACATTAAGAAACGTAATGAAAAGGACATTATTATTAAGGAACTAAATGAAAAGGACATAATTAAAAGAAGGGAATGACAAATAAAGCAATTGAGAAGCATACCATCTTGCTCGCCATCACAATGTGTTTGGTGTTGATTTCAGAGTGAAGCCCCCCAAATTCACGCTCACCACAACATTTCAATGTCATTACAACCTGAATATAAAATTCATGGAGAAAAAGGAAAACAGTTATTCAAAAGAAAACAAATTAGAATAGCATACTTTTACAGGTGGCTGCTAATAGATCCACAAATGCTTTGGCACCTAATATACGGACTCAAATCTGTTGTCCAATTTTAGTGTCTTTATTGGTGTCTAAGCAATCAAATCACGCCACGTCATGTAAAAAATTTGGATTGCTTTTTAACTTACTCTTTTGTGCTTATCATAGAATGATATGGTATGAATTAATTGGTTAGACACCAATTAAGACACCAAAAATTGGACAGCAGATTTGGATCCCTATTATACCTACTTCCTAGAACTGCATTTACAAATACAATTGAAGTTAGAAATG